TTGGGTCAGTTCAAAGTCACAGTGACCTACAAAACCCTTCATCAGTGGCTGTAGGGTGGGGCTGTGGCCACAGCAGGCACCATGATTGACATACTTGTTCATCATCTCTTCAGTTTATCCCAAGTGCGTCCGAACATAACAATCATTTGGGAGGCCTTAAAAACAGATTTCTAGATCCCTCAGCTGGAAATCCTGATTTAGTAGGTCTGGGGTGGTGCCAGAAATCTGTTTTTAACTAGTCTGCTTATGGCCACGGGAGAAGTTCGAGAGCCTTCTTAGGATGCAGTAAGCAAAGAACTACTACTCTAGTCTCTCCTCCGCACTGCTGCCTAACTACAAGCAACCCCCGAAGTTTACCTGTTTTACTTTTAAATGCCCCATGCTTTTGCACAGTATAATTTGAATGTTATAGAGAGCCTTTCATACCCTGAATATATAAACGTATATATTAATCTAGGACACACATACAACTCTTCAATAAACAAATAATAAGTTTAAGCTATGCAAGGTGGCTACAGATGAAAGAAAAACTGTCTTGGATGACACTGAGTTTGGGGGCCCTTGTGACACAGGGGTAACCCCACTCTCTTGGCTGCCATCTCTGATCTCTTGGAACACTCAATAATCAGTGTTCATTCTTCCTCCACTGTGGAAAATCCTTTCCTTACAGTCTGTTCTACAAACTCCTACTCATTCTTCAAGATCTAACAGATCATCGCCTCTCTAAAGTCAGCTCAGACCTCTGTAGACCAAGTTGATCATTCTTTCCTTTGTACTTACACAATATCTTGTTTATAATTCTACTTGTTCATCGTACTTCAACTCAAATAGAGGGCAACTCAGACATTCTAGCCCAAGTCAGGTATCTTGTGCACAGAACCCCCTGACCCCTTATCATAGTTGTAACCATACATTCGTGCAGCCAACTAATGTCTCCTCCAATAGACTGCAAACTCCATGAGGATAGGGGGCTATGCCCATTTGGTTGACCATTCATTCTGAGCACCCACTGTGTTAGACATTATGCTCCATGGTATCTCTAGGACCTAGCTCAATGTCTGTTACAGATATGTTTGAAAATTGAATGGTGAGGTCTTCGTACAAGTCACCTCAATACTCTTGTTGTGCCCCTTCTTTGATTTACTGCCTCATCTTCTCTCCCACAGCTTCATGTGGATGAGGAATACTTAGTTTAAAAAAGAAACAAAAAACCCACATACATCCTAATTTAATTAGATCAAGAGTTTACCTGGATCAGAATTAGCTGTGCCTGATTGAATCTGGCAGTGTATGATAATCTGCCAATACTTCTTGGACTATCTATTTTATCCATAAACATATGATTTAAAAATTATTAAAACATATGGATAGATCAGTGACCTAAGTATAACAACTAAACTCCTAAGACTCAGGTAGAAGTTCAAGATCTTGTTTTTGACAATGGATTCTTAGATATGACACAAAAAGCACAAGCAACAGAAAAAGAATAAATTGGACTTTATCAAAATTAAAAAAAAAACAAAAAACGTGGACTTTCTCAATAGACAACCTACAGAATGGGAGAAAATGTTTCAGAACCATGTATCCAATAAGGGTTTAATATCAAGAATATATAAAGAACTCCTACAACTCAACAACAGAAAGACAAACCCAATTAAAAATGTACAAAAGACTTGAATAGCCATTTCTCCAAAAGAAGTTATACAAATGGCCAGTAAACACGAGAAGATGCTCAATGTCATTATCACTAGGGAATTGAAAATCAAAGCCACAATGACATCCCACTTCACTCTCCACTAGAATGGTTATTATCAGAAAAATGGAAAATAACAAGTGCTGGTGAGGAGGCAGAGAAATTGGAACCTTCGCACATTGCTGGCAGGACCAACCGTAAAATGGTGCAGCTGCTGTGGAAAAGAGATTGGTGGTTTCTCAAAGAGTTAAACATAGCACTACCATAAGACCCAGCAACTCCACTCCTAGCTATATACCCAAAAGACTTAAAAGCAGGGACTCAGATACTTGTTCACCAATGTTCATTACAGCATTATCCACATAGCCAAAAGGTGGGAACAACTGAAGTGTCCACCAACAGATGGATAAACAAAATGTGGTATAGACATATACAATGTAATATTATTCAGCCATAAAGAGAAATGAAGTTCTGATACATGCCACAACATGGATGAAGCTTGAGTATATTATGCTGAGTGAAGTCAGACACAAAAGAACAAATTGTGTATTATCTTACTTACACGAAATATCTAGAATAGCCAAATGCATGAAAACAAAGTAGATTATTGATTACCAGGGGCTGGGGGATACGGAAATGGGGAGTTATTGCTTAAGGGGTACTGAGTTTCTATTTGGGGTGATGAAAAACTTTTGGAAATGAATAGTGGTAATAATGGTTGTACAACATGGTGAATGTAGTTAATGTCACTGGACTGTAGACTTAAATAGAAGAATTTTTTGCTGTATATATTTTACCAGAATAAAACTAAAAAAAAGAATAAAACATATGCATATACCAGTGAATGAAATGCAGCAATTTCAAATTTTCTGGGGGAAAACAAAGATATAAATATTTAGGGCTTGGCTCTTGCACCTCTCCCACAACTGTAAGAATAAGCTTTGGCTAGTCTGCTGGCCCAAAGAAGAGAAACAAATGGTGACAAGCTGCCCCTGGGTGAACCTGGCCCAGATCAACCATCCACCCAGCCAATGCACAGATGTGTAAGCCCAACCAAGATCAGCAGAGCCACCTACCTAAGTCCAGCCTACAGCAGCCAATCCACAGACATATGAGAAATAATAAATGATTATCATTTTAAGTCACTGAGATTTGGCATGGTTATGCAGCAATAGCAAATCAATATAACACCCTACTTCTTCCCAAATTTCCTAGGTCAGTGCTGTGTAGAGAATACACACTCAATAAATACTTCATTAATTTAACAAATATTCATTGAGTGGACAGTGTACTAAGAACAGGGAATATAATGGTGATCAAGATGGACAAAATGGAGCATATGTAATTAAAATGTGATGAGTCCTACAAAGGAAATTTTTAGCAACACAGAATTATTCATTAATTAAATGCTATGGTCTCAGTATAGAAACAGACAGTATAGCATGGAGCCTAGATAAAGATCCATGCATATGTGGGAACTCTGTAAATAATAGAAGTGGCATTACAAATCGGTAGTGAACTAGTAAGTGATATTGGAAAAAGAAACTCTCCATATGGCAAACAGTAAAACTGAGTTCCTATCTCAGACCTCACATACACACATACAAATCCATCAGTTCCAGATGGATTCAAGACCTAAATATACGTATATACATATAGCCATCTTTATGACTCTGAAGTAATGAAAGACTTCTTAAACAAGACTGAAAAGCTCAAACCATCAAGGAGAAGGCTGATGAATTTTACTATATAAAACTGTAAGATAAAAGTTAAGACACTGGCAGATTGTGACATTGTACTGGCACACTGTAACATATATAACAGACAAAAGACTAATAGCCAGAATATATATGAAGAATACCAATTTGTTAAGAAAAAGACAAGCCAGTAGAAATTCGGAAAAAAAGATGAACAATTTGTAGGAGAGGAAAATCGCTCAATTAACATCTTAATCAGACCATCTGTCCACTAAATAATATACTAAGAAGTTTCATTCATCTTCAGCCTTTTACTAAAAGTGTTGCCATCACCATTATTTAGTGTAAGACAATTAATTTGTTTCTGAGATTACCTCCTACCAAGATTCACTTATGATCTAAAAACCATGATGACCCATCATCAACTCCAAATGACTTTATGTAGACATCTTATGAGTGCTGATGCAATAAAAAATAAAAAATTCTGCCACAAGTATATTTACTTTTATAGTAAATCTTGGATTTAATAAACTGTTTCCTCATGAATACTTGATTTTAATGCTCACTATGAATACCTTAAAACATTACGCTGCTGGGGAAAAACTCTTCAACTTAATCAACTTATGTGTGTGGATGATAAGCCTTTAGAATTCAAACAAGTTTGAAACAATCCACTTTTTCATTTTCATGTACACTGATGGAAATAGACAAAAAAAATTTTTTAAAAAAGATGTATTCTTGAAGAAAATTTTAATTAAAAAAATCAAAAGAAAAACTGAACAGTGCCTAAATCTTTATTTTTCATAACCTACATTTTCAAATTAGACGGTTTTACACTGAATGACACAAAAGGAAACTTAAATTACCAATAGTTTACATGTAAGCTTGATTCCAGTCTTAATGAAAAGAAGTAGAACAAAAACTAAAACCTTCAAGAAAGCTTCCACATTACGCCCCCATTTTGTGAATTGGCAGCTGTTAGCTCTCCTTAAATCTTCGATTGTCTGCTGCTTTCTGTGTAATAGGTTACAAAACACATAAAATCCATAACTACAGCCCAGTGAAAGGAGATACAAAGATAGGTATGCACCATTAGTCACCTGTTGCCCTTGTGATAAATTGAACCAGTTTTTAAATGTAAAATGCAGAAATCTTGACAGATAATACAGCAACATAAAAAGTGTTTTGCCACATGCTAGTGACAAACAGTGATGCAATTGTAGGAGGGACTGATCAGAAACATCATGACATTAACTCTTAAAAAGCAACTATTCTACTTTCAATTCATTTCTGGTTAAATGGGGCCAGACTCTTATTCTTATATTTCCAAATAATAAGTATCACCACACAATTTTACAAGTTAAAATGTCATTTGTGATTGCTGTATCTCTGATTCTATAACTTGAGATACTGCTGGGGGAAAGAGTTAAATTTTAAAAAATTTATGAAAGCCACATATTATTAGCTGTATGTAACACAGCAACAGTCTGCATGCACCACTACAGCTTTCTATTGGGATAGCTCCTGTTATTTTTCTGAGTGGAAAATCTCAAATATCAGAAAGGGTTTTTTTTTTTTTTTCCTTCCTTTTGACATTATATAGCTATTTGGCATACCACCTTTGCTTAATTAAAAAGAATACTAAAAAAAAAAAAAATCACATCAGAGCAAGGTTTCAACTCTTGATGCAACAGACTGTTGCTGGGTAAAGCAGTAATTACAGTGTATTGACCTAGTACAAACGGCAGCAGAATACATCAGAACAGCACAACACACCCTGCTGGTCTCAATATATTATAATGTACCAGTTCACTATAATGATTAGCTGTACACTGTTGCTACTGTAAGTGACCACTGTTTTTTTTTTTTGTTTTGTTTTTTTGTTTTTCCTGTTTGCAGCTGTTGAGCTTTACACTTTCAGCCAACAAACAAAGCAAATACCTACAGCTGGCTTTATCCATACACAAATCAAGCTGCAAAGTTCACTGCCTTCAGGGAAAAGGATTTATCATTATTAAAAACCAGTGACTTGGCTCACTAGGATTTGTAATTCTGGTGATGACAATGGCTGACGACATCATGTTTCTTCCTTCAGCAAGACTACAACATTAAGAATTACTAGGTCTTAGAGTTTGCCTTTCCAACTCTTTGTACAGTATTCATTAGTTTAAGGTTAAGAGGTCAATTAATTCTGATTTTTCAGTCATCGATTTGACAACTACAAAGAAATAAATTCCCATGTTCCCTTTACAGGCATTTGAAATATATTAGCATGACATATTTAAATAACAACAACTGCTCTGAAGGAAATGTGATCATATATATCAAGGTGAGTTTTCCTCTGGCAGGGTAAATAATACTTAGTTATGTATGATTTTAATCAATAGATTATTATTTTTTTACTTTACCATTTAAAGATACTGCCAGTTTCTGCTTTCTATATTATACTTCAAAATCCTCTTACATTAGATAAAATACATAGTTTTTAAGAGTATGAAAACCTTTGAAGGCTTTTAATAAGACTTCCTATTTCCCTTTTGCAGCAAAGAGGCAGAATCAGTTCAACACACCAGTATAAGAGAAAAGAAAAGCAGAAAAAAAAAAAAACCTGAACAAATTAAAATACTCAAACCACAACATTTAGTTTATCTACATCCAGCTCAACAGCAACATTTATGATATATCAATAATTTTTATCAGATTTTTCTCTTTAGGGTACCTTTTTAATATGTTCTGATTATTTACAACTGTACAAGCAAAGCACACACTTCCAAGTGCACATATTTAATAACAGTATTGACTATTTGCATTTACAGGATTTTTCAACAATCTGAAAAAAGATCAACTGTTTAAGATCTTTAAAGTATATTACAAAAACTACTGCTAGTTCTTGTACTTCAGTCTGCTTACTCAGTAAAACTAACAATAATAGATCTACACAGTAACTGAGTAACTGTAATCCACTCATGCCAACCCAGGGGGCCGGTCTCCATTAACTCTAAGCTGTCTTATACAAAAGTTAAGGCAAAGTCATTTTCAAGTTTAAATAAAATTCAAGTCTTTAAATATTGGATGGAAATAATTTTAAAAAAAAAAACAAAAACAAAAAAACAACAACTCAGTCTTGTTAAATAACATTTTGTGGAATAAACTGTATTGTTACATTTAGCAGGAAATATTGTTATTTTAATGTCTGCTGCTTAGAATACTCAAATAAAAATTTAGGCATTTTAAAACAAAATAATTTATATTTAACTTTATTAGAAACTTGCTAAATTTAGTGCATCCTTGTTCTTCAGAAGTGTAGCACTTCCAGAAGTGAATCAATGAGAAACCTCATCTTGGAGGTAAAGAGAGCAGGAATTTTCGTCCTCCACCACCCAAAGAGGGGGGAAAAAAACCACAAACACCATTCTCTCACGATTAAGTAACTTTTAAATCCATGTGCCAATGCAGAGGTACAGAAGATGTCAACACAGAGCTGACTAAAATATGGACTCTTTCAAAGAGTACTTGGGGGAAATGATGACAGAAATCTATATAGAGCATGAGCACTAGGTAGAGGGAAAACCACAAAGTAAGTGGAGACTTTTATCACCTTCCTTGCCAGCACAAAAGGGTGCCAACTCACAAGTTACTAAAACATTATTGTACAATTTTGTGGTAACATGTCAATTGGCAAGAAAGTTTATATTTTCATTTAAATTCTATTAACAATGTGCTTTGAATTTATTTTACATAATAGCCATTTGAAACTGGAGTGAGAAGCTGGTTACTTGCTTGCAGTACATGAAAACTCAAATGTTTCAGATCTCTCTATGGTGCTCTCTGCAGGTTCATTTTGCCCAGAAGACCAAAAAGAAAAGTTACATTAAAAAAAATAAAGATGCATTCTACAATAACCTGTTAACAGTTTAAGTAAAAAGTACAGTTCTTATGCCAGTGTGTCACAACAATCCAACATGTCATGTTTACCAGTGTAATCTTGCACTCACTGTCATCAGCGCTCATCAGTCTGTTGACATTTTAAAGATATGTACTTGCAAACCAGTTATTTTAAAAAAATGAAGTAGCATAGTTCCACTTAATTTAGAAAATCTCACTATATATAGCTTGCATTCATAGCCACGGCTTAATAAAAAATATCAATTTGTAGGGATAAATGCATTTTCTGTCCTGAAAAAAATAAGACGTATGCATCACCTCCAGTTAAGCACCAACCTAAAATAAGGTTTATGTTAATTAAATCCTGAAAAACAGATTTTTTTCAAGAAGGGGAAAATCCGACTCATAGAAGAAAAATAACTTGCAGGCATTTCATATGCCTCATATATACTGCAAGCTCCTAACCAGCAACTCATTCTCTGTACTGAGCAGGAACAGTGTTTCATTTGTGGTTAAACAGAACTCTTTTGCAACTCCTCCCAACATACAATTTTCACTGAGGAGACTTGGGAGGTGTGTTCTGCTCTCTATTTAAACGCTTCCCAACAGTTGGAGGAGAGGATCTGCGTCCCAGTTGCCTCCTCTGATCTTTGGGTTGTCCTGGATTTGACTTCAGGGGAGGGGGTTCTCTGTATCTCTCCACTGGTTCAGTGAGTTTCTTTTCTTCTTTCCCACAACCGACAGTGTTTGGCTTTTGTTCTTTTTGGGGTTGCAATGGGGAAGAAGGAGGCTCTTTACTTGTTCTCTGACAAATCTCTGCGTAGCTAGGTTTCCGCAATTCCTGGGAAACAGACAAAATGTTGGAAATATATGCATAAAATGATCTCTCCAGTGATGACATGGGAAAATGAAGTTCACTTAAGACAAAAGTTAGAAAAAAAAATTCAATTGTAACTAAACTTTCATATTCATAAGGGTTTTCCCCAGCAGCACAACTTTCTCTCCAAGATACTCTAGAAATGTTTTACAAATAAATAAAATTAGAAAAGGTTTAGAGATAAAAAGTGGTCAATGAACCCCTTGCAACATTTAATCTGTAAACATTCTTGAGCTCTATGGAAGCCTAAAAAGAAGCCTAAGGAAACAAAAGACACTCTAGAAAATGACCCAAGGCAAACATACATCATTCTCTTGCCCCACACGTCCTTCGAAACACACCACCAGTCAATACAATGGGAAGTCTCCTGTGACTGCTCAATAAAAGCTAGTTAATCATTATACGGAGCCCTGGTGGTGCCGTGGTTAAGAGCTACAGCCGTTAACCAAAAGGTCGGTAGTTCAAATCCACCAGCCACTCTTTGGAAATCCTATAGGGCAGTTCTACTCTGTCCTGTACGGTCACTATGAGTTGGAATCAACTCAACAGCAACAGGTTTGGTTTTTTTTTTTTAATCATTATACAAAAAAAGTTTAAGAGGAGCTTTGGGTAAAACACAAAGGCTATATAACAAAAGAAATGGGAAAATTTTAAAACATTTTACCTATAAAAACCATTTCTAAACTAATCTGAACCTATATAAAGACTCAACCCTATGGATAATAAAATGTTGAAATCCCAAATCAAAATCTCACCTAAATATCAAACTAAGGACAACAATAACAAAAGATTTAAAAACAAAAAACAAAAAAGGTTCATTTACCAAAAAAGGGAAATTACCAGAAGGGAAAAATAACTGGAATTCAAATCTGCTGGAATCAACAGAATTGGAGGATGAAATACACGAAGAGATTTAAAAAAAGAAAAAAGAAAATTAGTAAAAGGAAAGAATGGAAACACTTTAGAAGCACTACAGCATACAATATATAAAGATGTAATCTGTGACAACAACATAAAAGAGAGGTAGATCTGTACAGAAACAGAATTTTTGTATGCTAGTGAAGTTAAGCTGGTATCAATTCAAACTAGGTCATTATAAATAAATTTAGGATGTTAAGTGTAATTCCCATGGCAACCAACAAAGATATCTTAATAATTTACACAAAAAGAAATGGAGAGAATCAAAATGGTTCACTACAAAAAATCAACTAAACATAAAAGAAGGCAGTATGGGAGGAAATGTGGGACAAGAAAGGTAGAAGACACAGAGAACACAAATAGCAAAACGTTAGCAGAAGTAAGTTGTTCCTTATCAGCAATCACTATACATTCAAGGGATTATTTTCAGTCATAAAGAGAAATGATACATGCTACAACACGAATGAATCTTGAAAACACTGCTTAATCAGACACAAAAGGACAAATATTGTATGATCTCAACTCATACGAAGTATTAGAATTAGAATAAGCAAATGCATAGAAACGGGTAGCTTGGTTGTTACCAGGGGCCGAAGGGAAGGAGGAATGGGAGTTACTGCTTGTTACTGTCTATTCTGGGTGATGAAAAAAAAGTTTTAGAGGTGGATGGTAGTGGTGGTTGTACACTGTGAATGTAATTAAGGTCACTGAATTGTACATTTACAAATGGTTAGAGTGGCAAGTTTTATGTTATATATATTTTACCACAATAAAAATCAAAACATTATAACTCAAAAAACAAAATAAAAATATACACTGTAGACTAAATCATCTACTCTGACCTTACAAAAACTGAAAGATAAGCAGGACTGGTTATAATGCCATCCCATCTTATTCTTACTACCTGTTGTATTTAGGTATTATTTTTTATGTTTATATTTAATTATTTCTTATAAACATGACACATACAGTAAATGCTTAACTGATCACAAATTCTATAAAAGAATAGGAATTGGAAGCTTGTTAACTACTCAAAAAGATAACTTCTATCAAATGATAGTGGAATAAAAGGAATCTATGGTTGTAATAATGAGCAACAACCAGAGCAGTTAAAAATTATTAGCAAATACTCATGGTATTTTGTACAGAAACACAACACACACACACACACACACAAATAAAAACCCATCAAATTAGATTTTATTAAAAATAAGCTGATACAGAAGGGAGAAAAAGCTGTGTTTTTTTACCATACCCGAGAGACTCTGAACTTAAAAGAAAATAAACACTAGTTACGTACTGTGGCAGTTCCATTAACTTGCACTGATTTACACGCAGTAGTAGTAAGAGTAGAAGAGAGTCTTTCCATACTTTGTGTTTCCCTCTGCTTTTCTATAACCTTGGAATCGCTGTAAAAATATCATCCAATATTTGAATCTCATGAACCATGACAGATAATTCAAAATTAGTAAATCCAAAGCATGTGTGGAATAGTACTACTTACTCAGGTAAATGGGCTGGGGAAGGAGATTGTTCATATGTTGCTGATACAGCACAAGAAACTGTCACTGATGGCTCTCTGGGGATTACCGCAGGAATAGTGTTTGTACTTGCATCCACATTTAGGTTCTAAAAATTCAAAATTTAACAGGTTTATGATACAGTAAAGATGTACACATCATATCTTTTTCACAATGATCTTATATATGGCCAAAAGAGACAATGGCCTAACTAAGTTTTGGAGATGTCCTCTTGGAGATCTGCGAAGACTGCTTTTTGTCTTATTCTTGGTGAAACAAAGGCTAGCTGATCCCGCCTAGTGCTGAGTGGAAATGACAGTCAGATATGTGCCTACCTCTACCCTAGAAGAACAGTTAGAATAGTAGCACCCCACTATGGAAAAACTGCCAATTTCCAGCATACATAAATGCAAAAGGAAACACTCGGAAAGACATTTTTCTCTAGCAAAAATGTCAGAGATTCCAAGTCTGTCCTTTTGCCTACAGAGTTCTCAGCCCTTTTTCCTCTCAGCAAATATATAATCATTCTCATGTCTCAGGTCCTCTCTACTAGCTTCCATTATAATTATTTGCAAGCTTGTTTTCTCAGCTAAACAGATACTAAAAACATCGCATTCATCTTGGATACCCCAATGTCTAGCATAGCCTGGCACATGGTTAGCACTCAAATATTAAAGAATTCCTAACACAATTCTTATCTGAATTCACAAAACAACCGTTGGAAGCAGGTATATTAACTCTCCTAGTTTAACAGATAAGGAGACTAAGGCTTAGAACGTTTAATTTATATCTGAGGTCACAAAGCAAATAAGTGAAAAAACCAGATTTTCTTACTCTAAGCCAGTGATTTTCCCATGCACAGTTACCATTTCACACATAAAATCGTCTTCACAGTATATGCAATTGTCATCACATTTTTTATTACTTGTCATGTAATAATAATAATAAAAAGGAGCAGAGCAAATATTTGGTAATGGGTGTAAGTGTAAGAAGACAAAATTTTCTTACAACGTTGCACTTTTCAAAGCAGATAAATTCAGAAATGAAATGGAGTGATGAACTCAGTGCAGAGCTTGAGGAAGGGAATGAGATGAACTTATCGGCAATATTTATATACATTTGGCCCTAGGCAGGGGCTACAACCAGAGACTTTACGTCCCTGTCAGCCAAGAACGAGAACCTTTTATGACTATTGCGCTCATACTGAAGGAAACGAGGTTGGTGGAAACTTGGGAATGGCAAACCCCTCCTTTTTGTAAGTGCTCATTTAAATTCAGGATATGTTGAGTCTTTATGCAACTTAACTGGGACCCTGGTGGTATGGTGGTTAAGCATTTGGCTGCTAACCAAAAGGTCAGCAGTTCAAATCCACCAGCCACTTATTTTTTTTTTAAATGCAACTTAAATGTAGATATGCTTGTACTATGTTAAAAGTCAGAGAGTCGTCATCAGAATAATAGTCTCTAATACCTTCAACAGGTTTCTTCTCCACTCTGCCCCTCCATGTCAATGAGGTAAGTGGGTTAAACTGAACAATTTCTAATGTGCCTTCCGTTCCAGGTCTAAAACTTGAGTGTAAAGTTGATATGTCTCTTTAGGTTAAAAAAAGCTGTTATAGATGCTCCACTGAGAAGCAGTGACACATACTATTCCAACTGGCTGTGGAATCAGGTTCTGACTTTTGAAAAGTAGCAAATCTTTCTTCAAAAGGACTTTTACACAGAAGTTCAACATGTAAAAAATAATAGTTGCTATGGTTGAACCAAGGTTGAAGGCTTGCTGTTCTGCTCCTCTACCCATCCCCAAGGGGAGTAAGATACACAGTTTGAAAACTTATACTCTTTAAAGTGCATTAATTTTCCAACACCATTATAAAAGGAGTAGTAACTCAGAAATTAACTGTTTGAAAGTTTAAGATTTAAAATAATGTATAAGACATGCCAAATTTAATATGTGATTGTTACAATAAAATACTAAATCTTAGAATTCATTCAACCTCCAAAGTTAAAAACAGGAGCAATATCCACCTACCAAAATGAAAAGAATTAAACACTTCACATGATACAGCAGCAAAATTTAATTTTAAACTTTGCTCCAGGGAACTGAGAAATTGTAGTATACACTGCAGTAGCTCTGAATTCAGGCTGTGGAAAGGTATCTTTTCCTGAAAGATTCTGATTCATCAGATCCGGGGAGTAGTAGATTGGGTGGTGGTGATTGTATTTATATTTGAAAAAGGTACACAGGAGATTATGATGCACAGTCAAGGCTGAGAACTGCTGGTATAAGGTATGTATGCTACCATGACACTGCTTAACAAGTTGTTCTTGGCACTCATGCGTCATTAATAATCATTAATCATAATAACAATTATTAATAATATAAAAAGAAAACAAAACTGTTCCTTTTGTACTTTCCAGAGCCTTAATTAATCCTGGCAGTAAGACAGATCCCTCCTTCAACTCAATGAGTATTGGAAACAAATAGCCTTTAATTTCTAAAGCTCAAGCTGATTATTGAGATTATAACAGCTACATTGATTCTTGGGACTATAATCACTGCAGAGGGGTGAAAGCAACTAGTTTGGTAGCCTATGGAGTTTGCCAAAAGCCATCAACATTAAAGTTACTTTAGGCTTCTTGCTACTCATCTCATGTAGATTGCTAAAAATTATATTGTTGTTGTTTTGTGCCATGGAGTCGATTCTGACTCATAGTGACCCTACAGGAAACGGTCCTATATTACTTCTGGTATAATTCAGATTTTTCTGTTTCATTCTGTTGCCTTGTAAACTAAAAGGCAGGTCTTCAATAACAACAATAAAAATGCAGTCTGTTTTTGGATGAGAGGAAGAATCTGTACAGTACATCATGGAGTAAGTTTCTTACCTTTTAAAACTCACAGACAGCAAGGTAACTAAAGAGACCACGGACTTTAGAGCACTACAGTCCTATGTTCAACTCTGACCTTCCTACTCAAAATCTGTGTGACCTTTGCAAATCACTTAACCTCGAAGACTCATCTGTAAACCAAGAGTAATATTACGTACATCATAGGATTCTTCTGTGTATTAAAGAAATAACGTACGCAAAGAGCTCAGCCAAGTGCATGGTATAAAATCAGTGCTTAGTAAATGTTAGTAATTATTAGACTTATAATAGACATCTTACCCTTTCTTTTGATGATCCTATTATCAAGCTAGATAGCCTGTTTTCAAACAAGTCCTCCGCCTTTAAATTGCCTACAGCTCCAGGCAAAGGAGGAAAGTTGGAGAGCCCTAATTCAAAGCTAGGAGATGGAGGCTTTGGTGGCGTCGGAGACTGAGTTTGACTCCTCTGTAACAAAAACAGTATCCCAAAAAGTTAAGACAAATGTAAAAAGTAATTACAGTATAAAAAATGCATCAAAAGAATAAGGCAAATAATCTGTCTTCTAAAATGTTCTGATTTTCTCATCTGTCTGAAAACAATGTCTTTAAACAAACAGATAATTCAACCATACTATCACTTCATCGCTTTCCAAAGGTCGTTTATTAGGCAACCTCAACCATCTGGAACAGAGCTGTAAAACAAATCTCAAGACAACTGATAGCCAAGATATATGTCACTAAGTACATTAATACAAATACTTTGTTCACAGAGCTTCTCATTACCCCATTAGACAAAAGTCAGAGTAGCCTGAGTCTAAACAATAACCACACTCATCTCTAGACAACAGTTTTATATCATTACAGCATAATGTATATAACAAATCAGTAGTTATAATCTAAGTCATAAAAGAAATATTCAAAGAAAAACAAACAAGCAAAAATACCACTCTCTCCACCCCCTACAACCTATGTTAAGAAAATTTTACAAAGATTTCCATTAAAAAAAAAAAAAAAAAGGGTTTCTAACTTGATCCAAGTTGACAGAAATTCCACTATATATTCTGGGCATCCATGCCTATTTCTCTACTTTATTCTGGTATAGGTGCTTAACAAAAAAGTGAGGCCTTCAGTTATCTGAACATTAACTTACTTTTAACACTTTATAGTTCTAAATAATTATATAGGAAAAAAGGTATTACATAACAGTTTCTTAGTCTGATTTCAAGAAAGTAAATTCAGCACAATAATATCCTGGTGTAATTTATAAGCCCAAAATCTCAAAAGAAAGACAATCATATAGTTTTACTGAAAAAACAGCGATCAACTTGCTTTAGCAAGCTAGAAATTATTTTGAAAAAATTCAGTTTCCTGGTTAGAGGATACCAGAAACAGAGGAGTGAAATGAGCTTATATTTAGGCGTAATGCAAGTATTTTTAAAGTTGGGGATGGTCAGCTACTTTGACCCAGAAGCAATAATCTCATGAGGTTTATCTAACTTGAAAGGGTCAACTTTTCCCAGAAATTAATACCAACAGGAAGATTACTCCCCATGTAAGTGGAATGTAGAGGAAATATGTCAGAGCTCAAATGAAAGCAGGTTAAATGGACCCAAAAAACTCGTTGCCATCGAGTTGACTCTGACTCATAGTGACCTTATAGGACAGTAGAACTTCCCTATACAGTTTCCAAGGAGCGTCTGGTGGATTCGAACTGCCAACCTTTTGGTTAGCAGCCGTAGCTCTTAACCACTACGCCACCAGGGTTTCTAACTTGATCCAAGTTGACAAAAATTCCACTATATATTCTGGGCATCCATGCCTATTTCTCTACTTTATTCTGGTATAGGTGCTTAATTTTGACCTAATTTTACTCAGTTATATGCCCTTAGTACTTGCACTTATTAAACACCTGGCTATTGTAGGCTCTCTATAATCTAGTATAATGAACATACTACTCCTCAAAATAATCCAGTAAAATTCTAAATTATGCATCAACACTATGATCTCAATCTCAAAGCATCTTTTATTTTAAACATCTGTATGTTTCTGAGGTGAACCCCGTTTTTCAGAAGGTAGGCAATTTTAGAAAAAGAATTCATAAAAATTTACTAAATCTTGATTCTTAGAGAGGCAGGCAATAAATGCTTAGATGTAGGAGCTACAAAATGACAGCGCCTCCAGGTGGTATTTGATTCTGAAGGCAGTGTTTACATTTTTCTAGGATTTGAATGGCTTTAGGTGAAGTATGAACACTGTTCCTGGTCCTATGGGCTTGCTCAGGCCCAAATGCTCACACACTTATGTTACCTGTCTATAAATTTTTGAAGTTATTAAAATTTCAAAGCCTCATATATACAAGTGCAACAAAAGATATACTTTGTATAGTATGAATCACACTCCTGGGCTTCCAAGTGGTTCATAGGTATGAACACATGAATCAGGAAAACAAAGCAAAATGACACAGAAATGGCAACGGGAAAAAGTTTCACCTTTGAAGGTGACTTTGTGACCAATGGGAATAATTCATGGATGGTACTTAACAGTGCATGGCACATTTCATAATAGGTATTCAGATGGTAGTCTTGTTACTCCAAATAGTTACAAAGATTCAACAATTCCAACTGGAATCAACCAATATAAACGACCTTACTAAAGGGCTATCCAAAAACTAGGCCAAAATGACAATTAAAAATAGAATTCTGGTTATTTATTTACTACTAATTTGTATTTTCTAAGTTCTCAACAAAGAAAATCTATCTTCTGTAATAAGAATGCACCTACATGATGGCTCAGAGGGGTGGACCAAGAATTTTATCAAGGTTTTTTTCTAGTTCTTCAAGTGTAGAATTCTGTATCTGCAACCCCACAAAATATATTTACTTATATGTCTTCATGCACAAGCTTATTTTCTCAACTCTGCCCAGAATATTTTCTTATCATTGCATGTTGGAGCTCCCATACCAACCTCCATTAAAACCCAACGTAAACATTATCCCATGAGAAACTTTGTTTAATCAACCCAAGCAAAAGTGACCACCTCTCATATACTTCAACTCACATAAACATATTACATATTTTTGGGGTTGTCCTGACTGTAAGTTACAGCAGAAGAAAATACCGCTTTGTGCATAGTGAGCACATAATAAAATGTTTCTGAATGTAAAATACTTCTGATAAACTAATTGCTATATGATAGAAGCTTATTCTGCTTGTTAAATCTAATGATTCCAGTTATTTTAAATTATATTATATTGTAGCCCAGAAAGAAAGAACTCATCTGGGCATCTGCATATAAACTATAATATGTGCAATAATATGTTCTCAGCTGTATGTATTATATACTACGTATATTTTAATAAAAATCAGAAACTGGTTATCAATTGATATTTGTGAAAACTTTACATCTTCTCCCCTTTAGACTATCAAAAATGTCAGTTATTACTTAACAGACATCACTTTAAAAGAAAAATTTTTATAAAATGCTCATTGACATGTCTTAACCTTGATTCAATTAATTAATATCATGTTTGTTTAGTATAGATAAGATTTAAATGTCTTATAAAAATGACATATGTTTTGTGAACTCACTGTAAACTTGTCCTCTCTTTTCTTCCGATAGCCAAAAGAATTTTTCCTAGAGGAGTGGAAAGCAAAAAACTGTTAATTTTTCCCCATTTGGAGATTTTTTTCCTTGAGTATATATATATATATATATATACATGCACAAATCTTCGAAGAAAACTATCAATTCAGTCTTTATTATTTTGTAATCATTCAAAGATGACTTTTGATTCTAAAATCCCAACCTTAAGAAGTATAAGCAAAACAAAACAAAAAAATTTTATTATCAAGGACTACTACTGATGTCTACATAGGTAAAAAAAAGAAAAACATTTAATAAAAGAATTGACTCGATGGCTATTTAGAATTTTTGTTATGATTATCTGAATATCCATTCATAGTTGGAATGTCAAGATGTCTAAAATCTGATATTGAAAGACAAAAATTGATAATGACAATTTATCAAATGCTTATTATCAAAATTTAAAGACCCAAAATAATCTACTCCATCCTCCCTTATTACCCTCATCCTTATCCTACTACTTCAAAGGCTTACCCTTTACCACTAAAATCACATGAGGATTTCTAAACCCCAAGAACTTTCTATACCTACTTGGTAGCCTTATGAAAAGTGTTCTGAATTTCTACCATACAAAATTCCACTCATCTGCAAGCAGTGATGCCATGTTATGCACTGGAGTGCTCTGAACATAAAAAACACACTTATTATGTGGCTACTTCATGTTAGGCACTGAGACGACAAAGATGGCTAAGACTTCTCACTGCTCTTGAGGGGCTTACTTGGTCTAACAATTCACCTATTAATTTCAGTTTATGATATTTGTTTTTATTTATTTAGCCCTTTGTCATTTTAACTGAATGCAAAGACTTGCCCGAAGGCCTTGTATTATATAAACTGGAAAGGAGTTTAGAAATAATCTTGACTAATCCCTTTATTTTACAGAATACCAAAAACTAGTCTTGTCCAAGATGGCATAACTAATTAGAATGACAATTCAGCTGTCTGTGCCAAATACGGATGCTATATAGATCTCTCAAATTCTTTGTAAAATAAGGATGGCATATGGAGCCTCTGTCTAGTCCCTATAGAAGCACAATGCAAACCATTAGGATTTTGGAACAAAGCCATGCCCTCTTCTGTAGAAAACAGTTCTCCTTTTGAGAAACAGCTCTTGGCTTTCTATTGAGTAGCTGACTATGCGACATTAAGTGACCATAATACTTGAGCTACCTATCATGAACTGGGCAGTAAATCATAAAACTGGGCAAACATAACAGCAACTCATCATTACATAAAAATAGTACACGAGATTGAGCTCAAACAGGTCTAGAAGACGCAAGTAACCTGCAAGAACAGATAGCTCAGACTCCTGAACAACTAGTCCTGCTGCACTGCCTGCTTTGTGTCAATCCACACTATGGCCTCACCAAGAGTCCCTCATCACCATCTGACTAAGGAGAAAAAATTCTGGACCAGGATTACAGATGGTTATACACAATATGCCAGCATTACACCTCAACCAGGAATGCTACTGAAAATCAATGAAGGGAAATCTTTCCAGTGGACAGAACTTCAAGCAATATATTTAGCTCTCTACTTTGTCTGGACTCAGATATGGCTGAAAGTATGGATTCACATCAATTCACAAATAGGGGAGCCAAAAATTTGGTTAATGTGAGACTTGCAAAGAATAGGATTGAAAGATTGATGACAAGGAGTTCAGGGGAAGAGGTATGTGGATTGGCCTCTTGGAAAGAACAGAGTGTGAAGTATTTGTATTCCAAGTGACTGCCAAAAGGTACCAACTACAGAAGAGACCCCTAAATGGCAGATGAAAAGATTAGTATGTTCAGCCTTTCTCCAGACACCCCAGATACACAGCAAACATGAAACGAAGATGAAGTTATACATGGGATGAACACCATGGACCCTGCTTCATCAAGGCTAACCTGTTTATCATTACTGATAGTATGTCACCTAATAATAGCAGTGACCAACATTGAGGCTGAATGCCAGCCAATCCTCATTTCTTGATCAGCAAAACTGTATGGCAAAAAGTCAAGCCCATGGAATCCACTGGTTTCTCATGCAATCCATCAAACACTGACCTAGTAATGACTCAGTTACAAGGTGCAGTTGGACAACAACACCCTGAAAAGAATGCGGTTCCAGCTTACAAGATGCAGAATATGCTTTGAATCAGTGACTACTATATGGTGCCACAGCCAGGACAGTTCCAGGAATCATGGAGTAGAAGTGGGAATGATTCTTATTATTATACCTAATAATCCACTAGCAGAATTTTCGCTTCCTCTCTCCACATCTTTGAATTCTAGGGATTTGGATCCCCTCTAAAAAATGTTCTACCAGGTGATATAACAGTAGTTTCACTAAAACAGAGATTGAGACAGCCACCTGGTCATTTGGGGTTCCTCATTCCATTGAACCAACAGGCAAAGGTTACTCTATTGGCTGGGGTGACTAGTCCAGGGGGCTGATATATAAGGGGGAATCTAAGGGATTCTCTGTGATTATCTCTTAGTACTTCTTATCCAATAGAAAAAGTTAATGGAAAACAAAACCCAAACCTACAGATATCAACTATGGCTTCACAACCAAGTACAGAAACAAGGACTATAGAAGTTATGCATATTTTTTCCTTGAGTATTACGTATATATTGGTACACACTAACTAAATTCTTCTTCTCACTCTCCTTGTATTTTATTAAGGATTGTGGTTGATGACTACAGTCTTTAAGTTACACTGTTTAGGTGGCATGTTCTTTAGGTAGGAGCATGACTCCCTTGCTGGGGAAGATGGCAAACAGTGGCTTCATTTGCACAAAATTTGTACCCTGTTGGACAAAAGCATAAACTTGCTATTGTTGTTTCCAGTTCAAATACTTGGAGGTTATATATGGACACTGTAGCCAGAGGCAGACCATGTTGGTTATTAAGATACTGCCTTACAGCTTCAGACACACCCTTTTCATACTCTTTGTGATACTGTGGCTGGGATTCTGCAGGCCACATTTTTTCCTTCCCCAGGAAATGTCTTGTTAAGGTTTTACCAATAAGGAGTGCTAGAGACAGGGATTGGAAGGCTGGAGGAGGACAAAAGGAACCTGGTCTTTCCTATCCACACGCCGTTTCAATGTCACTCTGGAAACTGATCTTCACCCCAGGAGCAAGAGTTGATTCCAGTTTGTAGTTTTTCTATACTGTCAAAACCAATTTCACTGCACCCTCAGGGATAGCAGCATCATCCAACTGACATCCCCTCAGAGGGATCAGCACCAGCCTGGGAGACGTCCCTTCCTCAGAGGTCTTGGCCCCAGCTCCACAGGACCTCTCCTCCACCCAGCTTCTAGGTTCTAACAACCCCCAACTCTTCCCTTTGATCCCTAGTCTTAGGGTTGGTAGCTGCTTCCTGCAGTTATTATATCTGTATTATCTCAGTGTTCCCCTTTTGCCTTTTCAGTTCTCTAATACCTACTGAACCAATTTTATATAAAATTTTCTGTTAAAATAACAGGTGTGGCTTTTGTTTTCCTGACATGTCCAGTGCTAATTCTACTAAATCATGCTGCTTCTGGCCATTCTAACTCTATCTTATAATCCTACAAAGGTTTAACAAATGCTGATTTAATAACTACAGGTTGTACTAACTGCCTCTAGGTTCCTCTTTATATTTAATAATCCCAGATTGCATTGAAAGTACATATTGTACCAAGAAGAAAGAAGAATGTGCTGTATACATTATGTATAGAAAACTTAGACATATTTTCATCGAAACATTTCAAGACAGGTTAAAAAAAAAAGCTTAGGTAGGTTAAGTATCTTGCCAGTTGTCAGAGGGGGAATTCCTAGTGATAGTCATCAAGTTAACAGTTGAGTGAATGAAGCCCACAATGGCCTAGTCATGAAAGGGATAAAATCTAACTTTAATTTATCAATATCAGATAGGGTATCACTGACTGAATGCAAACCCCGTGACTCACCAGCATCTTTTCTAATCTCATCTCTCTAATGGAGGTATAAGAGGCAAAAGACAACACAGCAAGAAAGAAAAGTGCAACTGGTATCAATAGAAAAGCAAGAAGAATATGAATATAGTCTATTTTTATGATGCAAACAAATGACCTTAAGTAATGATAAAAGACATTGTGGAACCAGGGGTGTTAGAATATTCGACCTAGGATGGGAATATGTAAAATCTCCAGTAACAGTTTCTGTTTATAAATAAATTTAGTAGCGTTGGAATTTAAACTCTGGTCTGCCTGGCTACAAAATTCATGTATCTGTCTACTATACTACACTCCAGACAGAAAAAGGATGAAGTAAGCCTAGGGATTTGTGGGATTAGAGTCTTGAAGGGGGTGGAAAGGAAGGATAGGAAAAATTCACTAGGCATATAAAACGTAAAGAGACTGGTAGCTGTCAAGCTCCAAGTTCTCCGCAAATAATGACTATGACCTAAAATATCTCAGTTCCATCTATAGTTCTCATTGTAACAATTTTATATCAAAAAAAGATAAAATCATTTAAATCACTGCTCTAAAAATAATTACTCATAGTAATTATATAAAATCTTTGATGTCTACAGCCTTCAATTTGATTTTGTGTTATAGTTGAAAATAGTGATTATTATATAACATATCCAAAGCACAGTAACTTTAAAATATTAATAGTTTATGATAGGTACACAGTACTTGTTCAACAAAATACTGGAGAAACTCACCTTCCTCTACCTAAACCAGCAGATGATTCAAGACTACTCTGTTCCACTCGCCCCATTCCAATATCTCTCTTGGCATAATTTGAAGGGTTTTGTATCCGTGTTCTAGTTTGACCTGTTTGCCTTGTTTGTTGGCTCCGGACACCATTAATTAATCGATCAGCAGTAAAGTTAAATATTGAAGGACTTTCTAATAATCCAGGTCCTCTCTCTGCATTAGGAATTGTATGGCGCAGATGTGACTTGCTAGGGTTCCTATAAATAAAATTTTTGTACATACACAGTTATAAAATGATCAAGGCATTACATATCAATCAGACTTACACGAACATCTAAGCTAAATCTGCTTTCTAGTTAATAAAATATACAAAATGTTATTTAAAATAATTAACTCATATCTGATAAATTAAGGGCTAATGCTCTACTTAGCAATTTTTAAGTCCAGGTGCAAATTAAAAAGCATACATGCACAGGTACAAGCTGCCCCAGAAGCCTTTATTTGAAAACAATCTATCCTTTACATAAGCAACGACTGTTGTGTGCCACTGAGTCAATTCTGACTCACAGTGACCCTATATGACAGAGTAGAACTGTACCATAGGGTTCCCTAGGCTGTAATCTTTATGGGAGCAGATCGCCAGGTCTTTTCTCCCACAGAGTAGCTGGTGGGTTCGAATCACTGACCTTTTGGTTAGTAGCCGAGCACTTAATCATTGTACCACACTAGCTCCTTTAAAGGTAACTGCAGTATAGATTTTAGTATTTAACCTTCACAGAATGTAATTCTATGCTTCATACAGTTTTAGCTCTGATGAACATTACTGGGCAGTCAAGTATATCATTAAAGACAGTTATAAAACAGTCATTTTTATTTAATAAATGTAATTTAGTTATGGTTAGGATTATCACGGTTTAACAGGTTTTTTAAAAAAAGTATACAACATACAGCAACCTCTTGTTACGAAAATACTGGAAAAATAATAACTTGTAACTCACAAGCATTTTAGTAACTTATGGAACTTGCCTGCTTCTAGGAGGATACTGTCTGAGTGAAGTCAGAGGAGATGTTGCAGGTTTGAAGGTTGGAGACGTAAACCCATTTATAAATCCAGTATTTGGAAATGGAGTTACCTAGATTGATTAAAAAACAAACAGGCAAGCAAACCAAAAACAGACTTCAATGTGGTTAATGCTACTGTATCTTGTGGTAACTAGGTCACTCCTTGACCTTCTCAAAGATGTTATGTTCCATTTTACACTTAAAAAATATTCATAGGTTAAGAAAAACATTTTATAAGCTTATTATTAATGGCAAAATATTTATTGAGCACTCACAACTGCCAGTATGGTGCTAAGAACTTTTTCTGCATTGTCTCAGTTGAGCCTAACAACAATCCAATGAAAAAGAAACATTTACCCCTATAGAAACTGATACTAGAAAGAAACTTGTTCAAAATCACATAAAGAGTGAATCCTTGAATACTGGTATTGCGTTTGCCTGAAAAAGTCCAAATGCTTAACCTAATGATACTAATATACTTCCTCCATTACTGGCAAGAAGTAAATAATTCTTCTTTATTTCCAATGACTTTAATAAAATTCATGAAAGTTCTCAATCTTAGTAACATTTGTGCATCTACTGCTGCCATCTTGGTTCTATTCCATAATTACAGCCTTTGAGTGCTATTTTATCTTTACCTCCATGCAAATTTTGTTCTGAATATCAGGATATTTTAAGATAATTAATAGTTATTCCCACATGTCACAATTTAAGATGATACATGGTACAATGATACAAATATACTAACATAAGATTCAGAAGAAAATTAGAAAGGGCCACATAGCCCTTAAAAAAGCCTCTATGACCTTAAACATAATCTTAAAAACTTAAAAAAAAAAAAAATTAAGTACAGAATTTTAAACACCAACCATTTAAAACATCTAGACACAAACAAAAACAAGATAAAACTCAGTGTTGAAACAATTCTTTATTTTTTAAAAGATGAATAGAGTGATTACTACAGCTTTCTGTATTCTTGATATGTGGTTTCAAATATTTTCTGTATAAATGACATTCCTTAATGGGTTCAAAAGCACTTAACCTCCTTGATGCCTTCCAATCCTGACCCTAAATTTTTACTGAATTGACAGAGATACATACAGACCCCTTCTTGTTTGGGAAAAAAGAAGAAAGAAAGAAAGTAAGCAATTCCCCCCTTAACTAGAGCTAATTGAAAGCATTATAAAATAAAAAGGATATTAGAGATAGCTTAGGACCAAAAAAAAATCATTCTGATTTAAAAAAAAATAAAAGCTACTAAAGGAAAATACTGGGGGAGAAAGATGTACTTAAAACTTTGTTAGAATTTTTGATTCACTATTTGAGAAACTCTATAGTCTGTAACAATACGGCTATATTTAAAAATAGTTATCAATCACACCAGAAGAGGTATTTAATACAGAACTTGATTTTGAAGATTACAAATCATGGTAAGACCAATCAATACCAATCTTGATTAATCTATGTAATTTCACATATGTACTTTTATAGGATCCTGGTATTTGAGTAATTCTGAAGTGGTTAAAAATAAAATTGGTTGCTAACACAATAATCTAAAACAGCTTGCTCAGAATTAAGATGTACCATCTTTACTTCTGTTCAAAATGATACAATATGGTTTAGAGAAGTAAATAGGGATGGAGCGGACCTGTCTTCACATACACAAACCAAGATCAAAGTAACTGTCCCAAATAGTCATCTAAATGTAAAACAGAAGTCAAGGCCAGAAAACTGATCCAGGATCCCAAAAGATCTTAATCCAAAAAAGGATAATTATGATGAGAGGAACAACTTAGTTTAGGGAGAACTAAATAGGACAAACATGGCAGATAGCCAAGTTTGGAGAAGATTATTCAACTGTAAGAGTTTATGAACTATATATTTCCTTTTAAAGTTCTTTCATGATACTTTTTTTGAAAAGGAAATATATGGACATGGGTACACTTTTACAGAATGTAGTAAATATTTTAAACAAAGAGCACATTTTCCTATCATTGGGATTCACACAATATTGACAAAAACAACTCCAGTGACTTGTATGCTCAATCTTTTAATGTAGTGGTTCTAGACTTTGGGTGGAGGGGAAGATGGTTATGGGCCCCTTTAAGAATCTCTTCCCAATTATTACAAAAGCCTAACTCATTTCTCTGTTCTCAGTCTGTGTCCTTGACACTGCTACAAGAGCTATATTCTGAATGGCATCTGGTTTCATTTCCCAGCTTAGAAACCTTAGATGACTTTCCCAACCCACCTCAGGATACCACGTTAAGAACCTTAACAATTTGGCCCTGATAGAACTTACCAGCGTCACCTCTGATTTCGCTTAGAAATACTAAGACATAATACTCACTAATACATAATATATAATCACACCAAAATGCTTCTGTGCATGCTGTTTATTCTCATGAAGCTTCCTTCCTTCTCTTTGATCCTTCTGATAAACTCATACTTAACTTGAAAAGCTCAACTTTGATGACAACATACCTTATAAAATCCTTAATTACTATATTTCATGGTATTTTGTATATACCTCTCCATCTCTGCAATTACTGCCTGTTTGATATGTATCTTTCCAAGACTGTGAGGTTTTTAATGAACTCAGTTTCTGCTTTCTGACCATAACCTTGTATATACTCAATTCTTTCATCTTTCTTATTCCAATATAAACCTGCTTTGTAGCATCATGCAAACCTCTAGTCCATTAATCCATACCCATTCTCCCAGTTAGAAGCCTAATGCTCACTTCTCTTTCTAACCTAGACCTCAATTTCAAGGAGACTCTTACTCGTATTCCTGATTTTCTTGTATCCCAGTCCAAATTCCTAACCCGAAATTAAGACACACCTAATCTTTATAGCATCTACAGTAACACAGCTAGAAAAAAATGACTGGATCCATTACAAAATTTATAAATTCCGATCATAGGTCTTTAACATAGGCCAAAAATCTGTACGATTTTCAAGTGTCAACCAACTTTAAGGTTGTTGTGAGGATTAAATAAAGCTCCTAAAACAGTATGTTTTCTACTTTTCCTTAACTGTTAGAAGCCTATTAAAATAATCTTTCTTCTTAAAAAATTTCCCTGATTTGTGTTCCAGTTAGAACTTGCATTCTTCTCTGAGCTCATAAACACACTATTTTATACTACAGTTCTGACCACATTCTGTGTTTTACTGTGGAATACACAGTTTGGGAAAGGAAATGCCAGACTAGAGATGACATAAACTGAGGAAAGGATCAAGATCACAGTATTTGAATGTTTTTTATGTATATAGTTCCATATTTATCTCCAAATTAAATTTAAAATCCACTACATAATTTAAAGGCTCTGGTTTACTATGGTAAACTATAAACATATTTGGCTCCTTTATTATTTTAATCCTTCAAAGTACCACTTATGCAGTGTCTACAATATAAATTTTCGTAAATTTCAAGTAAAGAAAAAGACTTACCAAGGATGGATCAAGATAGCTATGTGTTGTTGACCATGTCTGTGGAGTAATTAAGCCATACAAAGGAAACTGCTGTTGGGGACTATATACTGGAGGTAAATAAAATGATGTTGTATAACGCTGCTGCGTATAGAGGTTCATATCCAGAGGTCTAAATCCATTCTTTGGCAAAAACGTGTTTATAGCTATTGCCTTTGCTTTTATCCGTGCCTGTTTTAAAATATTAAATTTCTATCAGAATATTTAATTAAGAATATAATTTGAATAAAAACTAAGTATAGCCAATGGTCTTGCTTACCTTAATTGGTTTTCCTTGGAAAGTTTTGACTTCTTCTCGCAGGTATTTGTAAGCCTAAGGGCAAAACCACCCAAAATATCACTGTGTTAACCTTATAAATAAGATGAACTGGTAGTTAATTCGACAGTTTGAATAAATAATTATTTAGTTAAAATATGATGAACAAGACCTAGAACAGCAATTCTTAACCTTCTTTGGATCACAGATTGCGTAAGAGAATCTGATAAAAGCTATGGAACTGCTACCCAAAATTCTCATAAGCCTTTGCATACAATTCTAGAAGTAATAGATAACATAAAAGTCTCCCACAGACCACGGACTAAGAATCCTGATCTAGGGCAAAATAACAAATACCAAGCTCCTAATAATAATCCCAATTTGAAATTGGGATCACATAGTTTAGGAAGGGAAAAGCTAGGCAGGAATGGAAGTAAACTGAGGGCAAGATTAGGATGGTAATATTCAAAAGTCATTATCTATGTAGCCCCTTATTCTTCTCCAAATTAAATCTGAATTCCACTATGTAACTTTGAAGGCTCTGTATAGTATAATTCAACCTTTTTCAACCATATTTACCATGCAAGTCATGATAGTTTACACCCAGCTTCACAAACACGAATTATTCTTATCTCCCCTTCCCTTGCTCCTATTTCTTTCTTTTGTCTTCTACCCAATTGAAAGTCACCTTTCAGGTTTTTGTTTTTTCTTTTCTGAACACTCAATAACACCCTTCAACACTTTATAATATACTGGCATTCCTTTGAGCATGTTGTTTCCCCTTTTAAGGGTGGGGAAACTATCTTAACTCCCTATGTCAGCCCATAAGAAACTATATAAGGAGTGAATCAGAATCTATGAGGGCAACAGGTTAGTTTTTTGTTTATGTCACCTCATAAGAACTTATTTCTTAATATCTTTAAAAATATCACGCAACATGCAATGACACTTAGTGACAAAGATTAAGATTAGGTTCAAATTTCCCAAAACATTTTTTAACTAATAAAACTACTCTCTGCCCACACAGACTAACAGAACTGATTTTCCTAGGTTGCTTGTCTTAAAATGTCCTTACAATATACTGTCACATGCTTTTTTTTACGGCTATAAAAAAACAAAATTAAACCCACTGTTGTCAAGTCAATTCTGACTCACGGCGATCCCATGTGCTACAGAGTAGAACTGCTCCATAGGGTTTTCTTGGCTGTAATCTTTATGGAAGCAGATCACCAGGCCTTTCTTCCATGGTACTGCTGACTGGGTTCGAACTGCCAATTTTTAAGTTAGCAGCCAAGAGCAAACCACTTGTGCCACCCAGGGACCTACTATATTGCTACAAAAATGGTCTAATTTAAATTTCTACAACATGGTTTCCTCTATACTTTTCATTTAAACTTTCCACCACAATGCTACGTTAATATCAAAGCCTGAATTTAGTCCCACTATATACTACTAATTAAATATTGGTAAATTATGTACTTCATGGGGTGGTGGTAGAAAGAGCTTACCTGTTGTGCATCAGCTTCTGTTTCAAATGTGATAAACCAATTATCGTTATAGGCAAATTCACAGTTTATAAATTTCGGTAAATTATCTCCTTTAAAAAGTGCTTCTACTTCCTGTAGAAAATAGGTTAAAAATTAATTCTCAACTATGCCACTTTTTGCCCTCACCAAAATAAAAATGAATGCATTCTTTTATGGACCATATTCTTATACAAAGTATGACATCTATTAAATTTCAAAAGGTTGAAGAGTTAAGTGGGGCATCATGAATAAGGACTACTTTGCTACAGGAAAAAAATTACACAACATATTGACAACTTTCCCTATTACCAAAATGCCATTAAGCTAAACTAATGTGAAAATAACATTATCGTTCTACCACTAGCCTGACAGCTACACAATTTTTTTTAAAAAGGTAATTTAGAAATTAAAAAAAAAAAATAGTTGGACTTTTGTTTCCGGCCAAGATGGAGGAAAAAGGGACAAGATTTACCCTCTTACCTGAAACAAGAAAAAACAAACGACAAAATATGTGAAAGAACAGTTTTCAGACACTGCACATCAGATAGTGCAGGGCAGTGAACCCTGAGAAAGGGGACATGAAGAAGGGGAGCCCTACAACTGTCCAGCTTATGCTGGAGTTTCCAGAGCACAGAGCAAGGAGGGTGGAACGTAGGTGCAGGTGGAGAGCTGAGGACGTGGAGTTGGGAGCTCAGGGAGGCCAAGGTAGCTAGAGTCCTCAAGGCAGGGCTCTGAGTAGAAAAAGCTGCACAACAAAGAAGTTCCCAATATTTTCAGGGGGTCCTCCCTAGGTCTTCAACTGAGTGCTGATCAGCATATGCATGAAAAAAAAACTACCTAAGCTGGGAAAACAACCACCTGAAAAATTAGAAGGAAAAATCTCTAGCGCTCACATTACCCGTTGCCATCGAGTGGATTCCAACTCATAGTGACCCTAGAGCTCACACAGGACTGGGAATAGTTTGTCTTCCCACCAGCTGGAGTGGAAACCCTCATAATTCACAGGGTATCAGATAAAGTACTCAAAAAGGTATTGCCTCTGTAGTGGTGGAAAAATCAGAGCTAGGGTAAAGGTTACTCCAATTCCACCTAACAAATATTCCTTAAGTATCAAACTGGTTCCAAGCAACTTAACTGTGTCTCAAAACAAAGCTCAAGAATATTCATAGGAATACAAAAATATTCACTACTTAATAAGGTAAAATTCAAAATGTATGGCATCCAATCCAAAATTACCAGGCATTCAAAGAAGCAGAAAAATACAACCCATAATTAGGAGAAACACTAATCAATTAAAATAGATCCAGAAATAATACAGATAATAGAATAGTAGGCAAGGACATTAAAATAGGTATTCAATATATATTCCATATGTTCAAATAGGTAAAAGACTGAGCACATTGAATAGACATGGAAGAGTTTTACTAAAAAAAAAAAAAAAGAGAGACCCAAATTGAATTACTGGAGATGAAAAATACAACGTCTGAAATGAAAACTATACTAAGTGGAACTAACAGGTTAGATGCAGAAAAAAAATATTTGAAGAAATAATGGCTCAACGAACTTTAAGCACAAAAAACTTGAAAAAAACTAACCAAGGCACATCAAAATCAAATGGCTTAAAACCAGAGATAAAATCTTCAAAGTAGCTGCTGAGAAAGAAAATTCATTATAAACAGAGAAACAAAGATAAAAATAACCATTGGAAACAGCAGTGGAACAAGCTTTTTAAAACATACACACACACATAAAAACTTGTCAAGGTGTGTGTGTGTGTGTGTGCGCGCGAGCGCGCGCACTTTCTATACCCAGCAAAAATATCTTTCATAAATGAAGATGAAATAGACTTTCTTAAACATACAAAAGCTGAAAAAATTTCTCACCAGTAGACCTGCATCACAAGAAATATTAAAGGAATTCCTTCAGGAAAAAAGAAAATGATACAAGATAGAAGTCTAGATACAGAGAAAGGAATGAAAATCACTTAAATGGTAAATATTAGATGAATATACACTTTTCTTTTTAATATCTTTAAAAGAAAACTGACTGGTTAAAGCAACAATATATTGTGGGGATTATACCTATGCAGATTTAAAACGACAACAGCACAAAATACAGAAGTGGGAAAATGCAGGAATATTGCTGTAAGGCAAAAAGAAGTGCTATACTATTAATTAAAGGCAAGCTCTGATTAAGTTAAAGATGTTACCTAGAAGCCCTAAAGCAACCACTAAAAAGCAAAGCAAAGAGTTATGTCTCATAAGCTAAAAAAGGAGATGAATATAACTATTTAACACAAAAGAAAGTTGGGGGGAGGGGCAAAGAACAGGAGACAAATAGAACACAAATAGCAGGATGGTAGATTTAAACACCATGCTTGGTAAAGTAGAGGGTCAGCAAAAACGAGGAAGACCCTCAATGAGATGGACTGACACAGTGATTGCAACAATGGGCTCAAGTATAACAACAACTGTGGGGATGGCGCAGGACCAGGCAGTGTTTCGTTCTGTTATACATAGGGTCACTATGAGTGGGAACTGACTCGATGGCACCTAACAACAACAGATTTAAACCCAACCACATCAAATTTCAAAGTAGCAGCTCTATGGAAAACTTGGTCCTTTTCCTTTTAATCATCTGTAAAGATAAACATTGAAAGCAATAATAGAATAATGGTAACATTTCTATTTTGGGGAAGAACTGGCATCTTTACGTTTCTATTATTAAATACTGTAGAAAAGGTACTTAAAAAGATTTATAGTATGAATAGCTTTGGCTTAAAGCATAAGACACATGACAAGCTGATCTTACCAGATTCTTTCAGGAGCCCTCGAAACAGGCAGATGTGGTATTTTAAAGTGGCTAAGAATTAATTTGACTAGCTCATCTCCCAGTACCTTATACCAGACTTTTCTTCATTATTTCAAAGCATAACTATCAGTGTGTTTTACTATACAATGTAACTTAGATAAGTATTTGGACAATTTCTAACAGATTTACAGCAATGCAATAATGGTGCATTATTTTTTCTTATTATTAAACTATCCAATATTGTGATTTCTTAAAATTATTGCCTAAATCAGCACGTCTCAAAATAAAAAAGGTACTTTTCCCTTTCTCACTATGATGACATTTGCATGGATGGTACAAAATCAATGGTGAGCAAAAAGGTTGACATGCTAGCTCAAATCAAGCAGTAAGCTACAATAATACTATATTCTTTGCAATGCCACTCTTGTCATAAAAAATTGTCAAAAATTTTGTTTTTAAAGTTATTTATCATAAAAATATGTTCTTTATCTTAACTTGTATGTTTACTATTGCTATTTTTAAACAAACATTTTAAATTTTCATTTTTAATTTCTAAATACTGAAATAAATTAATTCTATTTTTTTTCATATAAAATGTGTAAAGGAGTCTTGAGACCAAAAAGTTTGACAACCACTCTTACATATGAATCACTTTTTAACTATCAGTGTACGTAAATCCTGGGGAAAAAAAAGTGTTACTCTAAGTATTTACTCTTAAAAATATACCCTCCAGAAAACCCTCAAGTAAACATAAAATCAAAGCAAACAAAAAACCCATGAGAAAATTGTCAAGTATCCTTCAGAGGAGAAATTACTTACTTCTATAGGGGTAGACTCAGATATTTCACGCAATATTACTATGCAACGATTTTGATTTGGCCTTACTTTTTCTCCTTTCTCATCTACTTGGACTAAAGGTAATGCTATAAAGAGAAGAAAAATGAGTGGTAAAGCAGTAATACTAAAACAAATCAATTATTTATATACTATGATGATACAAATATTCCAATGGAATGTTTTATATGTACTACTATTATTATCAAACATGTTAAAGAAAACTGTATAGTATGGACAAAGCAAACTATCAAAAGGTTTTAAACCAAGCTTGCATGTTAAACTTTCGAAAATTAAAGAACATAACAAATTTTAGAATCCTACAAGAAAGAGAATAAATTTAACACTATGAAACAAAGTTCTAAACAGCTCAAACACTAAAAACAGATTAAAAATTCAGGATTGGTAGCTTTCTCCTTTTTACAAGTCTCTGAAATAAAACAATTTTCTTATTATAACTTTTTATTTTGAAATAAAGACTCACAAGAAGTTTTCATGTACCCTTCACCCAGTTTTCCCCAACGATAATATCTTACATTACCAACGTACATTGCCAAAACAAGGAAACTGATGTTGGTACAATGCTACTAAGTCAAGTACAGACCTTACTCAGATATCATCAGTTTTAACAAGTACTCTTTTGTTGTTGTTGTTTTGTTTTTTGGTATGTTTTTCTATGAAATCATATCACATGTTTAGATCAAGTAACAGATTTTCATCATTACAATCAGGATATAAAACTTTTCATCATCACAAAGACACAAGTTATCAATATCAGGAATGAAAGAGGTAGCATCACTACAGACTGTATTAACATTAAAAGGATAATAAGAATATTACAAATAACTTCATACTGATAAATTTGACAATTTACATGAAATAGAAACATTCCTGAGAGGAAGCAAAAATATCCCAAATAAGAAATGAGATGAGGGACATTACAACAGGCCCAACTGAAATAAAAAGGATCCTAACAGAGTACTATGAAAAACTGTAACAAATTTGAAAACGTAGAGGATATAGACAAATTTCTAGAAACACACTACCTACCTAAACTAACACAAACTGAGGTAGAAAATCTGAACAGACCCATAACGAGCAGAGACTGAAAAGGCAATTAAAAAAAAATCCCAACAAAAAATAGCCCCGGCCCAGATGGCTTCACTGGAGAATTCCACCAAGAATTCAGAGAAGAGCTCATACCAGTACTACTCAAGCTATTTCAGGACACAGAAAAGGAAGGAATACTTCCCAATTCATTCTATGAAGCCAGCATAACCCTGATACCAAAACCGGACAAAGGCATCACAAAAAAAGAAAACTACAGACCAGTATCTCTCATGAATATAGATGCAAAAATTCTTAACAAAATTCTAGCCAACAGAATTCAGCATCACATTAAAAAAAAAACAAAAAAACAAAAACAAAACCCAACCAAGTGGGATTCATACCAGGTATGCAAGGATGGTTCAACATTAGGAAATCAATCAACATATTTCACTACATAAATAAAACAAAAGAATCACATGATCATCTCAATCAAAATAGAAAAGGCATTCGATAAAGCCCGATATCCATTTCTGATAAAAACTCTCAATAAGATAGGAACAGAAGGGAAATTCAACATGATAAAGGGCATCTATACAAAACCAAAAGCCAGTATTATTCTCAATGGAGACTGAAAAACATTCTTCCTGAGAAGAGAAACAAGATAAGGATATCCTTTATCACCATTCCTATTTAACATTGAGCTGGAAGTCACAGCTAGAGCAATATAAGGGCATCAAAGTCGGTAAGGAAGAAGTAAAACTATCCCTATTCACAGATGATATGATATTATAAATAGAAAACCAAAAAGACTCCACAAGAAAACTACTGGAACTAATAGAAAGATTCAGCAGAATAGCAGGATACAAGGTAAACATACAAAAATCGTTGGATTCCTAAACACAAATAAAGAGAACTATGAAAAGGAAATCAGGAAAGCAATACCATTTATAATAGGTTCCAAAAAAAAAAAGACTTAGGAATAAATCTAACCAGGGACGTAAAAGACCTATACAAAGAAAATTACAAAACACTCCTGCAACAAACCAAAAGAGATCTACATAAATGGAAAAACATACCATGCTCAAGGATAGGTGAACTCAACATTGTGAAAATGTGAATTCAACCCAAAGCAATATACAAATACAATGCAATCCCAAGCCAAATACCAACAACATTCTTTAAGGAGATGGAAAAACTAATCATTAACTTTATATGGAAAGAAAAGAGGCCCCAGATAAGTAAAACACTATCGAAGGCGAAGAAGAAAGTAGGAGGACTCGCACTACCTGACCTCAGAACCTACTATACAGCTACTGTAGTCAAAACAGCCTGGTACTGGTACAACAACAGACACATTAACCAATGGAAAAGAATCGAGAACCCAGATGTAATTCTATCCACCTACAGTCACCTGATCTTCGACAAAGGGCCAAACGCCATTATATGGGGGAAAAGACAGTCTTCTTAACAAATGGTGGCGGCAAAACTGGATGTCCATCTGCAAAAATTGAAACAGGACCCGTACCTCACACCATACACAAAAACTAACTCAAAATGGATCAAAGACCCAAAAGTAAAGCCTAAAAGGATAAAGATCATGGAAGAAAATGAGGGACAACTCCAGTGGCCCTAATACAGAGTATTAAATTCAATAAAAACCGTAACTAACAATGCATAAATACCAGAAGATAAACTAGATAACTGGGAGCGCCTGAAAATTAAATACTTACGCTCATCAAAAGACTTCACCAAAAGAGTAAATGAGAACCTACATTCGGGGAAAAAATTTTTGGCTGTGAAATATCCAACAAGGGTCTAATCTCTAAAATCTATAGAATACTTCAACACCTCAATAACAAAAAGACAAATAATCCAATTAAAAAATGGGGAAAGGATATGAACAGACACTTCACCAAAGAAGACATCCAGGTGGCTAACAGACACACGAGGAAATGCTTGTTAATCACTAGCCATTAGAGAAATTCAAATCAAACCTACAATGAGATAACAATCTCACCCCAACATAACTGGAACAAATCAAAAAAATAGAAAATAACAAATACTGGAGAGGCAGTGGGAGACTGGAACTCTTATGCACTGCTGGTGGGAATGCAAATGGCAGAGCTATTTTGAAAAACAATATGGTGCTTCCTTAAAAAGCTAGAAATAGAAATACCATACGATCCAGCAATCCCATTCCTAGAAATATATCCTACAGAAATAAGAGCCATCACAGGAATAGACATATGCACGCCCATGTTCACTGCAGCATTATTCACGATAGCAAAAAGATGGAAATAACCTAGATGCCCATCAACAGATGAATGGATAAACAAATTATGGTACATACACACAACGTAATACTACGCAACGATAAAGAACAATGATGAATCTGGGAAACATCTCACAACATGGATGAATCTGGAGGGCATAATGCTGAGTAAAATAAGTCAATTACAAAAGGACAAATACTATATGACACTACTACTATAAAAACTCATGAAAAGGTTTACACATAGAAAAAAACAATCTTCGATGGTTACCGAAGAGGGGAGGGCTAGGGAGGGAAAAAAACACTAACTGGACAATAGAAAAGTGCTAACTAAGACAGTACACAATTCTGGGGAAATCAGCACAACTTCACCAAGGCAAAGTCACAGAACCTTCATAGACACATCCAAACTCCCTGGAAGACCAAATTACTGGGCTGCGGGCTGGGGACTATGGTCTCAGGGGATATCTAGCTCAAATGGCATAACATAGTTTATAAAGAAAATGTTCTATATCCTACTTTGGTGAGTAGGGTCTGGGGTCTTAAAAGATTGTGAGTGGCCATCTAAGATACTCCACTGGTCCCACCCCTTCTGGAGCAAAGGAGAATGAAGAAAACCAAAGACATAACGGAAAGATTAGTCCAAAGGACTAACGCACTACAACTACCACAGCACAACTAGATGGTGTCCGGCTACCACCACCGACTGCTCTGACAAGGATCACAATAGAGGGTCCTGGACAGAGCTGGAGAAAAATCTAGAACAAAATCCAAACTCACAAAGAAGACCAGACTTAATGGTCTGACAGACTGGAGAAACTCTGAGAGTATGGCTCCCGGACACCCTTTTAACTCAGTATTGAAGTCACTCTTGAGGTTCACCCTTCAGCCAAAGATGAGGCAGGCCCATAAAACAAACAATAATACACGTAGCTCAACCATGTATGTGGGACTAAATGGGCACATCAGCCCAGGGGCAAGGAAAAGAAGGCAAGAGGGGTCAGGAAAGCTAGGCGAATGGAAATGGGGAGCCAAAAGTCAAGAAGGGGAGAGTGTTGACATGTCACGGAGTTGGTAACCAATGTCACAAAACAATATTTGCATTAATTGTTTAAGGAGAAACTAACTTGCTCTGTAAACCTTCAACTAAAGCACACACACACACACACACACACAAATAAATCTTAAAAAAGAAAAAAGCAGTTATCAATTCTGCAGTACAACTGTCACAGAAAATTCAAGAAAAGTGAATACTTCCCAAAGCATTCTATGAAGCCAGCACTACTGATAGACAAGCTACACAAAGACATTACAAAACAACAACAAAAATCCCCAAACAACCAAAATAAACCACTACAGACCAATATTCCTCATGACCATAGATGTAAAATTTCTCACCAACATTTTGGTAAACTGAATCCAACAACATATAAAAATGATACTAAGTCATGACAAGTAGGGTTTATCTCAGTAACGCAAGGTTGGTTTATCAACCCAAAATCAAGCGATGCAATTCACCACATTAAAGAACTTGCTGTTGTGTGTCATTCAGTCAATTCCACAGGGTTTCTAAGGCTGTAAATCTTTAGGGAAGCAGACTGCCACATCTTTCTCCCACAGAGCCGCTGGTGAGTTCCAACTGTTCACCTTTTGGTCAGCAGCCTAATGCTTAACCATTGTACCAACAGGGCTCCTTAAAGAAGTGCACTGCTGAGATAGGGTGTGCAGAGCCAAGAGGCCTGTCCTGAGGGGGCTGAGAGGAGGCCT